TCCAAAGATGTGATAAACCACAGTTAATTTATGTTTTAACAGGGGGGGCAATCACTTTTTCACACAGGGCCATGTAGGTTTGGATTTTTTTTTCCCCTTAATAATAAAAACCTTCATTTAAAAACTGCATTTTGTGTTTACTTGTGTTATCTTTGTCTAATATTTAAATTTGTTTGATGATCTGAAACATTTAAGTCTGACAAACATGCAAAAGAATAAGAAATCAGGAAAGGGGCAAACACTTTTTCACACAACTGTATATGTGTATATATATATATGTGTATATATATATGTTTCACAGATATTTTTTTTTAATGCAAAAAATAGTAATGATATGAATAACATTTATATAACTAATAATTGATAAACATGTTGGTGTGTACTTGATGGAGGCTAACGCTCATGTAGCTATGGCAGTGCACAAAAACTGACATTTCTGTATGATGTATTCCACTGGTTTGAATCGGATGATTAGCACTGTAATTAATGATAACATCAGAAATCAACTGTTGTTTCCAGTTTGCCCAGATCCTGTCGACAAGTACCTGGAAGAAACATCAGTGCGCTACATTTCACCAAGAGGAGCAGTGCAGAACAAGGACACTGTGCCTCACAGAAGAACAGGTGTGTGTTTGTGTATTTGTGTGTTCAAGTTCTTTTTCTTTTTTTTACCCTTCATTTCAGCAAGATAAGACTAAGAATATTGATAAATACTACTTGAATGTCTCTTAAGTAACTGCACACTGTGATACAGAAGCTTGATTAACATTAAAACTAATGTCACTTTCTAGGTCCGCAGCCAGTCATTTGCTGTTCCCCGTCAGGACCCCATGTTGGACCTGCTCAAACAAAGCCAACTCCTCTTGTACAAAACCGCAAACGGAGAAGTCATTCCTCAGCTGACTGCAGAGAGAAGCAAACATGTGGTAAAAACAAATGCAACATGGAGAGGGGTCATCATTTTTGTCTGGCCTCAAAGAGAATAATGACATTGGCTTAGACCAATCCAGGAACACATCAGGTTACAGTTGTTTTTTTTCAGTAAGCTGAATTTTTTTTTTTAACATAATTTTAATAAGAAACCTGGTGTTGGGATCTATCAGGAGTGTGTTTGGTTATCACCAAATATGAAAAATTAAATTATTAACAATAGAATTATTCATGTCAATAACATTAACCAAACTATAAATTGAGTCTCAAAATTGGTGTTCACTCAAAATGCAACATACTATTCCACATTCAGAGTGAACAGTGAAGGTTTGAATTCGAGCACAAGCCACATATCCAGCTATTATCACAATACCAGTGGTGGGCCGTCAGGGCCTGCAAAGCTTTCTCTGCTGGCCGAAACAGAATCACAAAGTTATATCTATTTTATAATTTAATAATCTTTCTTAAATACACAACATGTATTGTAATTTATAAAAATATTTTTCCGATTATCTTATTTTCTCATTGCACAGCTACTTTCTTCCTCAGTTGCTCTGCTTCCAGTGCAGCTTGTTTTAAGTAGAGCTTTTATCCAATCAGATTTCACCTCTGTGTCTCTAGATAAGAAGAGAGGCCCGAGGCCTTCAGACTCACAAGTGAATCCATGTGCAGTTTAAGTGAATGGGGACGATATTGTTGATTGTCATAGTCTTCAACCAATCAGATCTTTAGTTTGACATGTTGGGCGTTCTTTGACGCGCCAGAGCCTGTTAGCTGGTCTAGCCATATGTGATTGGTCAGTGAGCTAGCGTGACATGTTGGGCGGTGACAATCCCAAAATCTGCTGCCTTTGTTGAGACATTTTCAGCCCTCAAACGCATTAAAACCTATTCAAGAAATACAACTGGGGAGGTTCGACTGTCTTCACTGGCGTCCATGAATCGAGAAGGACTTCTTACTGGTGACTTTTTTTGTCAAAAGCTACTAGTGACAAATCTAGCAACTTGTTCTGGTGTTGTTGGAGACTTTTGTGGTGTTTTGACTCGTTAAAGCACGTACCGTTCTGCATGTGAACGAGCAGCGGGTGCTGCCATGAGGACCTCCGCCGCCCCAAAGCACACACAGGCGCAGCAGTCCCAGCTGCAGTCAGAGCAGGGAGGCGACGCACTCTATCTATAGGTGTTGGCTTTATTTTGACACGAAACAAATAATAACCGTAGCTGTGTTTCAGCTGCAGGACAGCAGTGAAGGCCCAGGTATAAAATGCACGGCGTGCCACTGCGCAAAACACATGCACAAAGTAATCACAGAAAGCTGCTCTTTACATCAATAATAATGATCAAGTCACTAATATCCAAAGGTAACAAAATTATTATACGTCAACTGGCCAGCCAGCGTTTCTCAGATTGGAGTGAAACAAGGAGAAAAGTTTATGTTGTGATCTTCGCAATAAAACATCTTTGATGTGACATGTCGGGTCTTGGCCAATCAGCGTTAAGATGTCTACACCTACAACTAACGTTAGTGGATTGTGTTGTCGTTAAAGTTTAAGTTACGTTATGTACCGTTACAGTTCAGACTTGCTGGTTATGGCTAATATCCACTGCATGCGAAACTTTGTAGACTGTTAACGTTCATCATTATTGCGATTTAGGAGGAAAAAACGTAACGTGAACCCGGATACTGATAAGATGATGTGGTCAAAGAGCTTAAGGAAGAGGATGCTGTTTGTGTAGCGCAGCTTCACACAGGGCTGAGATGTAAGTGGAGCTGGACCTGGATAAAGGTGGAGGTCTAAACAGACGTGAAGGGAGAGCAGTACAGCTTCCCGCTCTGTGTTTTAAAAAAATTGATAAGGCAGGGTATGCTAAATGCAGCCTCTGCTCCAAGGAGATAAACTACAGCAACAAGGGTTCACATGCCCTCTCATCACACTACCAGACAGAAGTGCACCGGCAAAAGGTGGTCACTGTAATGACCACAGCCAGTGTACTTACAGTCCCAAGTGCAGCTGCTCCCAAGGGCCATGAAGTAATGTCCCTTCATTTTAGCGGGTTGCTAATTTAAAGGTGTGTATAGATTGGAAGCTTGCCGTTAAATCACAGCTATTATTTTACTATTGTTAAGCTACCTTAGCCAGAGTAGATTATCATTTTAATTTACATTACATTACAGTCATTTAGCAGACGCATTTATCCAAAGCGACTTACAATAAGTGTATTCAACAAACTAGTATTCAAGAGAACTACTAGTCATCAGAAGTCATAAGTGCATCTCCTTTAAACAAGCATCTAAGAGCATAAACCAGACCAGAAGTACAGTGCAGAAACAAACTAATTCGGATACAATCAGTGCTAAGTGGAAGGCTGAGGGTAGTACTTCTTGAAGAGGTGAGTTTTCAGCCTGCGCCGAAAAATGGGCAGCGACTCTGCTGTCCTGACGTCAGTGGGGAGTTCATTTCACCATTGTGGGGCCAGGACAGAAAATAGCCGTGACCGGGTTGATCGGCCGCAAGGACCTCTGAGCGACGGGGCAACCGATCGCCCCGAGGCAGCAGAGCGAAGTGGTCGGGCGGGGGTGTAGGGCTTGACCATGGCCTGGAGATAGGAAAGAGCTGTTCCTTTCACTGCCCTGTAGGCTAGCACCAGAGTGGATGCGAGCTCTTACAGGGAGCCAGTGTAGAGAACGGAGAAGGGAAGTTGTTTGGGAGAACTTGAACACCAGGCGAGCTGCAGTTTTCTGGAATCATTAATAAGTACAGGAAAGTCCTCCGTTTTGTGTCCATCACCCTCCCTAAAGCCTCTAACCATGACTTCAGATGTCAGCTTTGGGAGCGTTTTAAAACTCTTATGTTTTCGGTGCTCGAAAACGCCGGCGTAGTGTGGACGCTCAGTGTAAACGTAGCAAAACATATACGTTTTCAAATGGAAACGGAGTAGTGTGGACATGGCCTACAGTCTCCCTGAGACAACCATGTGATGATGCCAGAGCCCTATTCCACAAAGCTGATGTTATCCGGCTAGCTTGACATCCCTAACTAATACCTGCATTGGTACCTCCATTGTTTTCTTCATTAGTCCTCTTCATCCCTTTTGTTTCCTTGCTTGCTTCAGTTGTTCCTTTACCTTTTCATCTCTTTCTTTCTCTCCTTCTCTTTTACTTCATTTGCTATGTTAAGTTTCTCTTCCCTGTCATGATTACCTGACATTATCTGCTAGTAATTGTGGGTCAGGTTTTTTTAAATACCTGCACCCATCGTAGAGAGAGAGAGAGAGAGAGAGAGAGAGAGAGAGAGAGAGAGAGAGA